GAGCAGGTGAGTTGTGAGCCCCCGCCCCGCTGTCTGACCCCGGCGGCCCGGCACGTGGGGCCTCCCTGAGCGCTCAGGGACCTGGGCTCCGCCAACGTCACCGAGTTCCGCTCTGAGCATCCTTATCCGAGGGGAAGCGCGAGTGCCACAGGTTGACACGGGTGCGTGACGAAGCGATTCCCGATGTATGTTTTAAACCTGCCGCTTTTTATTAATGTTTATTGAGTGGCCTTTTGTTTGTGTTTTATGTGGAATGGTAAATAATACTTCCATAGTTACTTTCCCCATGCTCTAGTTGTACAATTCTCTATCCTATCCTCCCCTGAATAGGTCTCAGTGTATTTAATACCACGGTGCCGTGCATCTTGCAATAATTCTTAATAAAGGTCATTGTTTTGTGTCTCCTAGGATTGCGTCCCTTCAGTAACTATGATTTATCCTTCTTGTGAAATCTGTGGTGCCTCCCTGATGCACCTAGTGCAGATATATTGCCCCCTTGAAGGCTCCCTATTCCACCGTGTCATCAATGTCTTTGCTTGTGCCATGAAAAGCTGCTGGGGAAAATCAGAAAGGTGTGTGTATGTGGTTTGCATTTTTTTTCTGAACCTTCTGGGATAGTTGGTGCTACTTTAATATATAAAATAGTCATGTTGTCATTTGCCTTTATAACATTAGTTGCTTGTTTTTCCTTATGTCACTTTTTTTTTTTTTACTTTAAAGCTGGAAAGTGTTACGCTCCCAGTATTTGCAGATGCAAGGAAAAGAAACACAAGATTGCAAATTAAAGCAGGTATATTGTGCAAGTATGATTTATTTTTAATGGAGTAAACTTCCGATAATCTGGCACCTTTAGGACCCAGGGGGTGCTGGATTATCAGATTTGCCGGACTATCGGAAGGGGGGGGCTATGAGGGGTCTGGGGTGCAGTGGGGTGGGGAGAATGCCACCCCAGACCCTTCATAGCCTCCCCTTCCGATAGTCTGGCTCTGCCCCAGGCGTCCCTGATTCAGCCGCTGCTGGGCAGTTTTCACGGAGTGCTGCTGGGTTGGTCCGGTAGCACTGATCCTTGTCGCGGCGAGACCAACCCGGCAGCACCCCAGCTGCTCTGCTCCTGGTGTCCCCAAGTCAGCCGCTGCTGAAACTGATCAGGGGCTGATTCCAGGAAGCCTGGGGCAGAGCAGCTCTGCCTCAGGCTTCCTGGAGTCAGCCGCTGATCAGTATCAGCAGTGGCTGGCTTGGGGACAGTCCCGCAGCTCCGAGGGGCAGTGCTACGGGACCAACCCAGCAGCACTCCAGCTGCTCTGCCCCAGGCATCCCCGATTTAGCCGCTGGTCAGTTTTAGCAGCGGCTGAATCAGGGAAGCTGGGGGCAGAGCAGCTCCAATGGTCCTGCTGCCCAGAGCACTTCTGGGTTCCTGATGGTGCCGGACCATCAGGAGTGCCGGACCATCAGATGCTGGACCATCGGCGTTTTACTGTAATAATATTTAGGAACCTGATAAACACAATGTGTAGTTTTACACCTGAGGGTTTTTTTCCCTATTACAACTTTAACTGTGGGTGGCAAAAACTGAGAATAAAAATCTATTTTCATTCTAATAGACTTAAAGTCTGTTTATACAGTTGATAATAAAAGTTGGCAATAAACAAATATGATGAACCATAATTTTGTAGTAAGTTCTGCCTAAGTCCCATATACCACAAGAATTAAAATTCTAACTTCATTTTTTAAGAAGTTACCTGTGGAATTGGGTATGTCTCTGCATATTATATACTTGTTTCTCTTTGTCTTGGGAAGTTTTAGTGCCTATATCTAGCAGGGGAGGGGGAGATAAATTAAGTATATCTAGAAGCTTAGTTTTTTCATTTGTGTCTAATGTATGTGTGAAATGTCCTAGGGACACAGCTCTTGAAAATTGTTCTTTTTATTCTCAGAAACAAGAAAATTACTTTGCAGCAAAGGATTGGTGTGATGAAGCAGATGACTGGGGAATTTGTGGTGAAAAAGAATATCCTGTGCAATCCACCAGTAATCCACTTGGGTTAAACATAGTGAGCAGTTCCTTGTCATCCACAGACACAGAATGTGCATCCCAATTTCAAGGTCTTAACCTGTCAGAAACTACAGATATCTCTGACTCCTTATATATGCCGGTTCCATGTGGAGATGGCATAGTAATGCCTTCCTCTTGTCCCAGATTCCAGTCCTACTACATCAGTGTTATGGATGAGAGAGACTACACTGGCTACCTTGATACAAATCATGCACACAAACTTTTAAAGGAATATCAGCAGAGGGAGGGCATTCATTTGGAACAGTTGATGTCAGAAAGGTGAGAATAGATTTGTTTGTGTTGTTAAATGAATGCCATTGGTTAAGTTCTCGTTTGCTGTCATCTTCCAAATTAGTTTATCAGTATTCAGGTCCTAAATCACTAGAATGACAGTCAGTGTTATGCTATCTTAATTATATATTAAATTAATTATGTTTGATGAATGGATGTAGTTCCCTAGATGATTGAGACTAGGGATACGAACAGGTAACCAGTTAATGTAAGGTTAACCGATTAACTGGGATTTGATATCCCTAATTGAAACTTCCTTTTCCTGTGGATTTGAGTACAGGAATGGGATGGCTATTAGATGGACTTAGAGATTTTTATGAAAGAAGTAGTCTGAAAAATAGATTTTGGATATTAGTAGTTATACTGGTAGAACATTTGTATAGTTGATCACTTACACTAGGAATAATTGTCATTCTGTTAGAATGTAAAATAGGCTCCTCCAACAAGAATATATGCTCCATCTGGTACTTAAGTACAAAAGATGCTATCATTTGTGGGATATACATATATGCTTCTCTGAAGTAGTTTTCCTGATTAGTTATGTGAACATTCCTGAAAGAGTATGTTAGAGGACTTACAATTTTGTATTGAGAATAAATAAAAACTAGGTTTTTGAGTGGTCACAAAAGAAAATGACGTTGGATATAATCAAATATATGGTCATTTGGTTTCATGCATTATCTGACAGCAGGGATGAAGAACCTTTTATTGAGTGGTGGGGCACTGACCCACAGAAAAATCAGTCAGGGGCCGCATGCAAGTGAAGCAAAAAAACAAAAACAAAAACACATCCTCGCTGATGTGGCCCCTGACTGAGAAGGAGAAAGATACTTCCCACATTCCCCTCACACACCAGAGCTGGGGAGGGGCGGCCCAGCCAAGTAGATTTTTATCTTCCAGCCCTGTGGTAGGGCAGCAGAGGGGCTGGAGTGCCAGCACAGGCTCCCCAGTGTTCGGGTGGGGGACTCTGAGCTTTGGGGGGGCCAGATCCAGGTAAGCCGGGGGCTGCATCTCGTCCCCGGGCTGAAGTTCCCCACTCCTCTCTTACAGGTTGGTTAGAAATAGCTTTAATGATTGTGAGACAGTGAATATCTATGTATTAGGACCCAACTGATCATTTTATTAAAGAGTTGCTTCCAATTAAAAAAAAAAAACTGATGTCATTTCATTATGGGTAATGAAATAAGAAACTTCAATTGCGATTTTCCCCTTCTTCTCCCCCCCACCTCCCCCGAGTAACCATATTTATTTTTGAACATGTATACTGTGAACCTTATTGTCAAAATTTCTCCCTTATTTGTCTAGTTTTCTAAGTGAAGGTGATAATGAGAAGTATGAAAAGAGTGACATCAAAAACAGAGACCACGTGTTCCATAAATTTATGAAGAAAATTGCTGCCTGTCAGGAACAAATCCTAAGGTATTTTAATAATTTCAACATGTTTTTGGTGGGGGTGCAATATCAGTCGTTTGTCAGAGAATGAATATTTTTGATTTGACATCTCTGAAAATGTATCTTTTTAATTTATTTTAATTTGTAAGAGTTAAGTATGGTGTATCATACAATACAGATGAAAGAAATACACCATTTTCTGAACAGGTGTGATTCTCACCCCTGGTCCATCCGTTATGTCAATAAAATGGTTGGAGGCCCAAAGGGCCCTGTATTTGGTCAAGGGAAAAGTGAGGAAGACCAACACAGGGTGTTCTCTTCACACAACCCATGCCAAAGTCTCAGGGATTGTCTTTGGAAGAAAGCTTGTTATAGAAACAAATAATTACAGAGCCTGAGCAGCAGTGCTTTCATAGACAGCTGACTAATCTGCTGTTGTAAGTTAGGTAGTCCTTACATTCCAGGCCCAAGAGCATATCAGAAATTGAGAGGATGCTCCTTAATTTCATTACCTTAGGACTGAATTCTGGGCTGTGCTTCTCAGAGATGCAGAACCATATTCCACATATTTCATTGAAGCAGAAGCTGGTGGTTCTTGGCTTCTTGGGAGATGAGTGATTTCTACCAGAAATGTAGTGCTTTACTGAGAAGTACAGTGCTGCTACAATAGACCCCAGTATTGCAAGGTGTTAAGAGCCCACCATTCCTAATAATTATGCAATTGTAGTTCACTTAATGAAAGTTGAGGGTATTGCACATCTTACAGGCACCTGTCAATGACTTGTCATCTTGTAAATGTTGGAAGGCTGCATTGTTTCACATCAAGCTTTCTCATGTGACCCTCTAAGTCTTTCTCCAATTTTAACCTTTGTGAATAATGAATGAATACTTCTAAAATTTCAAAGGTTCTGATTTATGCTGATGCATATGGCAAGCAACCTCTTAGGTTTAGAATCCTAAGTACTAATGTGACATTGTCATGTGTCTTTGTCAATAAGATTTAATTGCAAAAAACGTAAATATGTGGCATTTTTCTTTTCTAGATATTCCTGGGATGGCCAGCCTTTATTTATAACATGTCCTCCATCCAGTATGAATAAAGTGGTTCCAGTCTGCCCCACCTGTGGCAGTAACAGAGTCTTTGAGTTTCAACTTATGCCAGCACTAGTCACCATGCTGAAGAGTGTTGATGCAGGTGTTAAATCTTTTGTTTCTACTTTAACTGAATGCTAGTCAATCTGCTTGTTGAGTATGATGTACTGGAACTTAGCCTGCTTCTTGCAGTATGTACATAGTGAATGAAATTATAGCTACTAGCATTAAGTCAGTCAAGCCAGCAAATATTGGGGTAGCTGTCTGTTAGGCTGGACTCAGTGCTCTTGGGGGGGCGGGGGGGGGGGT